TTACAGGAAAGAGAGAACAAGGCATTGGTTGTCCCTCCTTAGACCACAAAACTCAGTTTTTCCAAAAATGAGTGTTTCAAGTAAATGTTTAGTAGATCTGAAGACCACCAAACACCAATAACTATTCCTTTCATTAAATAAAATGTTACTTGTTAGGCCCCCATATGCGTGTTTTTCCCTCCACAACTACAACTTTCAATTGTTTTTGCAAAAATGCACATACCACTAATAGTTTAAAGGGCAAATTTCCCTCATAACACCCGGCTTGGTGTATTGCCCCATCTTCATTACCGGGTACGGTGCAGAAAAGTAGGATGTTAAAACCCGGTTTCGTTTCATTTATACTAGGCAGGAGAGGTGGGGTGGTACCCTCCATTATATATATCTGTGCCTTTGTTTTATTAAAAATAATATAAATCCAATCTCTCACTGGCTCTCATTACGTGATCTCTTATCCGACCTACTCTCAAGAGTTTTGAGCAAAGGTAGATACCTTACTTGAATGAACATCAATTCTAATGAGGACGGGATGTAAAGACCAGCATTTGACTGTTACATACTGAGAATACCATAACAAAAGGTATCACACATGCGTCTCACAACAAGGTAAATCTCTCAGAAGGTCAGGAATGGGACAACATTCAGTTGCGTATTAAGGGGTCGGGGAGTGGGATGGCCCTGTGGTCTAGACTGTCGATCTAGCTGGTTGGTCATCTCCGGCTTGCAGTTGTGGGTTCGATCCCTGGTGTGAGTAAATAGAGATAGGGGTGCCGCCTTGCGTTCACTCTGGGTAGTCAAGTTTCCTCCCACAGCAAAGACATGTGCACATGAGTTAAATTTGATAACATAAAAGTACCACAGAACTGTCCCAAAACGACCCAGTTGGTGTTGAGTGGGCATAAAACCCCATTTCATTTCAATTCAGTTGCATATTGAAAATATTAAAACAAACAGGAGGACTAACTTCTGAATATCTAACTGTATTTTATTAAAGATTTAATCCATAATTGAAGCTATTTTACAAATACGATCATATAGGCAGATAATGACAAAATAGAAGAATACAATATGGTTTATCTCCTTGAAGAAACCCAACTTTCTAGTAACCCAACAAACATTTTTCAAGAATTAACAGTAACCATGAAGATGAAATCAAAGATTTGAATAACAAAGAAAACAGCACTCCTGATGTACATTTGAACCAAACACATGAATAATTTGCATTCATATTATGCAAAACTAAATGGCAACAAATAGAAATTAATTCCTCTAATAGAAGCCTTTCTAAACTTTTTTTTTTCTCTATTAGGTTCTTAACTTGGCTTTTTACATGTACCCAGTTACGAGAGCATAAAATACCATGACTAGACTTAATCGCTTCTCCGCATTTCTTTCCACCAACACCTGATAACTGTAATTTGCTTATATTATCACTGAAGAATTTTTCAAAGGTAACTCTTTTCAGCTTGGGACCATGACTTATGTGGACATTTCTTCCCACCACCACCTGTAAATATTAAATAGTTAACATAAGACTAAAATCTTTCCATCCACATCTTAATTTTAATCCATTGTGTAAAACATCATAACAAAAATCCTCGATAAGAATGACAATGCTCTGAAAGAACTAAAACAAGAAACCCCAAGGAAACCATGGGCGTAAAATTGGTGTGTAACATCTAATCCTCTATTTTGAAGTAGCGATGGGCTTATGTCAAAACAATTCCTTGTACTGATTAAGATGGGTTACATGTAAGCTATGTTAATTCTGTACACAGTAAGAGCAATACAATACTGATGCCATAACACAATTTACACATTGCGTCATTTTACATTGCGTCGCAAGCACATTATCAACTGAGCCACCACTGACCTCCAAGGGAACAATGGAAGCAGTTAAAGATACGAACGAACTTCAGATTAAAAATTTACATGACAAGAGGCCTGTTCTATGCAAAAATTCTTCATATCTATTACCCAACTTATATGTTGATTTATATTTCTATACTCTTGAATCCCGTCATTACTCAAACAATTACTGCATAGTAATTTCAACGCTACGTAAACAAAATCTTAAACATGAACATGCTGGGGGTGGGTGTGTGAAATGAAATGAAATGTGGGTTTATGTCCAATCAACACCAACGGGGCCATTTTGGGACAATTCTATGATACCTTTATTTTATTCAAATCAGCACATGTGCAGGGCCTTTGTGGGAGGAATTCGGAGTACCCGGAGTAAACCCATTGGGTCGAGAAGGTGCCCCAATCTCCAAACCACATACACTCGCACCAGTGATGAAACCCACAATCACAAGCCAGAGGTGACTAGCAAGCTAGAGGTTGAAGCACAACACTCTACACCACCAGGTCATCCTAGCCCCCCGGTTGGGGTAGGAGCATAATTTGCAAGGTGAAAGGCTTGTTGTGGGAGGAGCCACAGGCGTGACACTGGGTTGGTCTTGTGATACCATGTGTTCATCGGGTAAAAGCTGAACTGTTGCTTTAAATAAAAGAGGTACAAAATAAATATTAAAGACGGGTTCCTGCGTACAAACTGGGTGATTTAATGGTATATATAATTTTATGATAATCAAATAATAATTGACACTTTTATAGACCAAAACCTATATCTCTGCAACCGAACAAATTAGAAACCATTTTGTGATATCTGTATGGTCGTATGGGTTTTTGCCCAAATGTCGTCATTTTCAGTGACAGTGAAAATGTTAAATTGGATTGACCTAGTCAAAGGTGGCATGAGGCAACACATGGTAACAAAAATTGAAAATCGAACGATAATTGACTCTTTTACATGCAAAATAACGTGAAAAGTGAGGCATGCAAAATTGCCTATTTCTTTGCAACTGCGCATATTACAATCTAATTTTGACATACATTGTCCTCGTATGGATTAATGCTACAAAATTATGAAAGTTGCATAGAAATAATCTAAAATATGAAGACGATGAATGGGTTGTAAATAGCTGATTTTTACTCCTTTTTTTCAACCTTAAATCCAAATGGCGCAAATACAAAACTGAGATAAAAAAAAAACCCAAAAAACTAAGCCCGACATATTTTGCGCCTGTAGTAGGAGGATTCATCTTCATTGATAAGATTTGTAGAAATCAAGATTTTTCCTTAGGAAAAGACCTCCAGACCCGTCAAAATTTAAATTTTAGGCAAAATTACATCACTTCCGGTGCCGACAGAAAACTTTATAGGTAGAAACAAGTTGAGAATTTGCACCAAGGAGTATATGAGCTTTTGTTTTATACAAATCAGGCAATAAATAATTAATTTAGAACCCATAAACTGTAATAAAAATGCGAAAAGTCTTAAAAAGTGATCCTGACGAAATTGGTTATTTCTTTGCAAAAGAAGATGTTAGAATCTATTTTTTGACATATTTATGATCGTATTGATCCAATCTATATTTCCATTGGAATGAAATATCATAATGGTAAACGAATACTAAATATAACTCACTTCAAAAAAATATTTGTTTTGAAGGCTAAAAATACAGTTTTTGCTAAAATGACATTACTTCCGGTGAGAATGAAAATGTTAAATTAGTTTTATGAAATCAGAAATGGCTAAAGGCATCACATGGTGGAAATTTTATGAAAATCGAATAATATTTGACACTGTTATAGACCAAAAACCTTGAAACGTGACTAGTAGAAAATCGTCTATTTTTCTGAAACCTTATAAGTTAGAACCCATTTTGTGGTATCTATATGGTCGTATGGGTTCATTCAATTTGTTGATTGAAATTAAATATCATACTTTTAAACACATAACATATATGACTCATTTGAAAAAAATATCAGTTTTGTAGGCTAAAATTCAGTTTTTGCCCAAATGACCTCACTTCCGGTGACAGTAAATGTGTTAAAATGATTTAATCTAGTCAAATGTGGCATTCCGCATCAAATGGTGGAAGAAAATTGAAAATTGAATAATAATTGATTCTTACAGGCAAAATAGCACGAAATGTGACTCATGCAAAATTGCCTATTTCTCGAAAACTGCTGATATTACAAACTTATTTTGACATACATTCTCTTTGTATGGGTTATTGCTACGAGGTTATGAAAGTTACGATGAAATATGAAGACGGTGGATGGGTTGTAAATAGCTTAATTTTACACCTTTTTTCACCTTATAATCAAAATAGCCGGAAAACGAAATCGAAATTAAAAAAACTGAGAAACGATTTGTGCGCCTTTGCATGGCGTATACTTTTGGTAATATCAAATTTTGAAAAAATAATATTTGCTTTCAAAAAGTTGTACCGAACTGTCAAAATTGTAGTTTTTGCTGATTTTACTTAACTTCAGGTGCCGACACGAATCTTTACCGGTAACAAAAAAAATGACATTTTGGACCACGCAGCATATGAACTTTCTTTTGTACAAATCGAATAATAAAGAATTAATCTAGGACTGAAAAACTGAATTAGCCAATTGCGGCCAAGGAAAATTACAGACACAAAAAATATTGATATTTTTAGTCAAATCGGATAACTCTTCAACCCTGGTTAAAATGCCATATAAAAATATTCATAAATAAAAAAATTTTTTGTAAAATTTTAAATTTTCGAAATTTGGCGATTAATATCTACGAAGATTCGTCGACAATCAAAAATCAAAAGTAGCACAGCGATGTGCCTGGTCTCCGGCTATGTCAAAATGCATCATATGTTAAAATTCGATGATTATTGTTAATACTACGGCATTCTTTTACAAAACGACAACTTCAGTGATTTTGGTCATTTCGCGTTGTCACAGAATGCCCAAAATAGGTTTAATCCCTAAGTCACACCCACTTTCCCAATAAAACCGAAGAAATCGCATCGATCCGACATGTAGTTTCTGAGATACAATCAAATTGGAAAAAAAAATAATAATAATAAGAATAATCTTAACAAAAACAATAGTGTTTCACACAAGCTATGCAGTGTGAAACCCTAATTAATGCTTAAGTTGACTTACATTGCATCATCAGAATTACAATCAACATCCACAAAGTTGTCCCCAAATCTCTGTTTAAGTTGGACTGGCCATAAACCTCGACATCCAGGCCCACATATACTGGTAATTCTCTGAAGAATTAAATATAAAAATATTTATGTTTAAATCTACATGTATTGCAGTATGAACAAAGATTATGACTTAATAAATTACATAAAATGAATAACTAAAAACATAAATTGGTTTTATCCATACAGAATATACATGTATGATAATGAAGCTTAACCATAATTGATATTGTAGGCCACTGGTATTTAACCGTAAGCACAGTAGCATTTTGATGTTAATGTTTCAGAATCGCAGATCACCAAACTGCAGATAATACATGATTTGCGGGGAAAAGCAAGAGAAAGTGGGAAATGGGACTTACATGTAACATCCCATGCTTGTGCCTATATAGGGGTCTTTAGCTGCGGGAGGAAACCGGAAGACCCAGAGAAAATCCACACAGTTGGACAGGCGACCCTAGTCCTTGTCTTTTACAAGCTTAGGCTCGAAACCATGCTACTTGACTCAATGACAGATCTTATGATCTAAAGCGCTCGCTTTAAACTACTGGACCCCAAACGGGAAAAGCCATGCTAATGTCTTTAGAAAGTAATTCTCTCTTTTTTTGCCGTTAGTTAATATCAAAACTTCAATAAACATTGCTTTTGTATTCTATAATATCCTTCTGAATGACAGACAAAATGACCATGGATTAGAGTATATAATTTACAAAACATGTACTATCAGAATGATCTCGACCGTTATTAGCAACCACATCATTACTCATCATTGCGGAACTAGTCACTCTAGTGAAAATACTAAACCCAATATGTCATCGTCATGTTTTACAAATTACATGTAGTCTCTTACCTTTAATATTCATCATTAAAGTAGCTAAGTCTCTAACTCAATATCATCCAAAATCTTCGACATTAAAAACATGATTTATTTGTCGGTTTAAATCAACATAATTGATGTTGTGATCTTACCGGGAAAAGATGGCCTTCTGATTTCCAATATTTGAGACAAAATAAACATTTTACAAGTGGTACACGAATCGTGTACCATAATACTTTTTAACGCTATTTGTAATAAGGGACTCGCAAAACGCGGCTAGGCATATTCCACAAGTCATGTCAAACGGTGACGCTATATTCTTATCTGGAGAGCATGCCCAATAAATACTATCGGCGTAGGTTGGAATAACCAGTCGCTAGAGATTGAAATTCGATTGAGAATACTAGCGTATTTCGCCGAACCTAATTGATTAGAAATTACAGTAAAAACAAAAATGATTGAATGTAAATCAATTTATATACATTCATATTTCATTATTGTATGCGTTGCAACCCATTTGTGTCAATTTCTAGGTCCCAAATATTAGCGACTTAGCTCCTTTAAGCAGAAACATAACAATGCCAGTGGTATGCTAACAAAACTGTTCATACTGTAAACAAAATATATAATTTAAAGGGGCTAAATCGCTAATATTTGGGATCTAAAAATTGACACAAATGGGTCGCAACGTATATAATAATGTAATATGAATGTATGTACATGTAAACAGATTTACATTCAATTGTTTCCGTTTTTACTCTAATTTCAAAGCAGTTATGTTCGGCGAAATACGCCAGAAGTCTCAATCCAATGGCAATCTCTAACGTCTGGTTATTCCAGTCTACATCGATAGTATTTATTGCGCATGTTCTCCAGATAAGAAGATAGCGTCACCGTTTGACATGACTTGTGAATCTGAATCTGAAGGGTTACGTTGAAGCGACCAATTCTGGCTTTCATTCAACGGAATATGTCTAGCCTCGTTCTTCGAGTCGCTTGTTATTACAATTTGCGCTGAAACACATTATGGTACATGATTCGTGTACCAATCGTAAAATGTCTATTTTGATATAAATATTGGATATCAGAAGCCCTGTTAAGATCACAACACCATTCGTGTTTTCATTGTCGAAGGTTTTGGATGATATTGAATTAGAGATTTAACTACTTTAAATATAGCGATAATTGCATTTTTTTAAGTCATATGTTTAAAATATGTTTAAATAAAGACTTAAAATACATGGCTTCTATATACACACAGTCCTACTAGTCCAGGAGCTAATGACAAAATAATATGGTCATCAGTTACAAAAGGTTTGATCCCCCAAATTTGTAGCAGGTGTTGGTAGGAGTAAAAATCAGTTGGTCAGATCGGGCACTGCTGGGGCGTATAGCCGCAGCAGCACCTTAAAGTAGCCCCCATGGGGCCTAAAATTAGGTCATAAGTTACATGGCTGAAACTTTGTAGGGACAATGGTATCCATAGTCGGAGTAAATATTTCACAAATCTAACCAAAATTTCTGGGGCTTTCCCCAATATCGCCTCACGGGGCTAATAATATGGTCATCAGTTACATGGCTGAAACTTACCAGAAACGAAGATCCACACTTGGTAAATACAATTTTCAAAAATCTAACCAAAAATTTGGGGGCTTTCCCCAAGTCAGATCGGTCTAAAGTATGTCCGACCACACCCTAAAAATGGGGCTTTTTATATGGTCATAAGTTACATGGCTGAAACTTACCAGAAACAAAGATCCATACTAGGTAAATACAATTTTCAAAAATCTAACCAAAACTTTGGGGGCTTTCCCCAAGTCAGATCGCCCTAAAGTATGTCTGACCACACCCTAAAAATGGGGCTTTTTATATGGTCATAAGTTACATGGCTGAAACTTACTGGAAACAAAGATCCATACTTGGAAAACATATTTTTCAAAAATCTAACCAAAAATGTTGGGGCTTTCCTCAAGTCAGATCGTCCTAAAGCCCATCTGGCCACGCCCTAAAAGTGGGACTTTTTATATGGTCATCAGTTACATGGCTGAAACTTACCAGAAATATTGTTCCATGCATGAAAAATGTATTTTTCGAAAATCTAATCATAAATGTGGGGGCTTTCCCCAAGTCAGACAGGTCTTAAAATTGCAGCCCCACCCACCACCTCTATATAAATCATCTAAACATATTTACATTTTAAAAGCTTATAATAATGTAATATCAATAATACATGTACATTGTTAAACCGCATCAAGATTAAAAATTATAGCACAAAAATAGAACAAATGTTTATTAGCTATGTGAAATCCTAAAATGAGCAATGGTATCAAGTGTTTTAGGAAGAGTAAGCATGTCATATCCCATTCACGACACCTCTTATGAATAGATAGTTAGGACTGATGTTAAATTTATGTCTTCAAACGTTCTGTATTCCATCACAACAACCCATTCAACAATGATTCAGAATGTTATTCAATATCTTATAACAAAGTGGACAATTTAAACAAATATTTCGAAGGTATTTATTGGATTAATAAGTTGCTTTGGTTTGAATTCGATAGTTTTTGCTGTTCCCGATCTTCGATAATGAATAACAACCTAATGGATTTTAAAAAATGTTAGTCAGTGATGAATTACTGAAATTATGAAATCTATTTATAGTTCTAATACATATAACTTTAGTTATCCTTCCTCCTCATTGGTAAATATTTGTTACGCATAACATTTTAATGATTTAAAATAAGTAAGTGTGGCTGGGTGATGCCAATAGTTAATCTGTCACACTTTCATCGTCACTACAAGAATTGTTTGATTCGTCATCGGAGTCCTTGCTTTGTTGGTCACTATCTCCATCTATGAAAATACTCTCAACTGACACGGGAGCAACATCACCATCAAACCACTTTAATTCATACACCCCATCATCATTTCAAACCCACCCTCTATTCTTTGGATGGAAATTGGGGAGATTATTCTTTGAAGCATTTATCCAGACACTACAAATATAATTCGCTCTCTTGATTTTCAAAGTTAATACCTGTGAGCATGGTGGCAAAGGGCTTGCTTCTATGCCTTTAATACCAGAAAGACATCCATTTTTAAGCATCCCATAGATACTACAAACAAATCCTTCAATAACTATTTACTCCAGAAGGAATGAATTCACTTTTACCAAGAGAAAACAAGGCAATTATTGGTGATTGGTTGTCAGTCTCAACAAAATCCCGAATGCCTACTGTATCATGAAGAGTGTCTTTACCAGAAAGAATTTCAACAAATCTATCGTAGTTTTTAAAAGTAACCCAAGTTGATAGGTGTGGTGACACCATCATGCCAATGGGTGTTTCTTGGTTGCGCTCAGTGGATGTAAATGTCAATTCTGTTCGAGTTCCTCAATTCTATTGTAACTTAATGTATGTCCCAAACGATTAAGAATCTCAATAACCTTTTTACTGCCTTTAAGACTTTTCATTGAAAGACCCTGTTGTAGGTGTTTTGATGGCTTAGTCCCACCCCTGGTTAAAGAATAATGGAATTAATTCTCTTGACTTTGTTTTATCCACAATTAGAGTATGGACCAACTAGTAGATGTGTAAAGAAAGGGGAGACCATGTCTGGTACTGCTATTTCACCATTTATGATATGTTGTACGGTTAAATTTTCTGGCAGTTTCATTTTCTTCGTACTGAATATTTCTCATCGGAGTAAGAAAGTGACACTCTGAAGTTCTGAACTGTATGTTCAGTTTCGCTGGCGTTGTCAGATGCCTTGCGAACAGCGTCATCAACATTTAAACCTTTACTGAAGACAATATTACCACATCTTTTATTCCCACTGTCAATTGAAATATTCTCACCAAAGAATTTAACCAGCTTGTTCTGAAAATCGCTGAGCAAAATACCTAACTCTGTATAGTTTCCGCCACCAAATTCTAATAAACATGACTGATAGTATTGCAGTAATTTATTTAACAGGTAGACCTCTTGTTTTTCTCGAATAATGTCAGTCACAATACTACATAAAGCATCAAATGCTTTGGTATGTATATTCCTAGTATCATGTCATTCACTTTTATCATATGACCCGCTTACTTCTCGCATCTTTTCAACTCTGTGTTGATATTCTATTCTGCACATTGCATGATAATGAATGTCTTTGCCAATGAAATCTATATCTTGGATGTTCTTAAGCATATTTTCATCCTGAAGAATTGTTGCATATTCTTGAATATTTTTTTCGATTGTCTTTGTGAAACAGGTTATTACTGTCTGTTTGTGACCTTGATGTTTTCTGTTTGATTTACTGCAAAACCGGCAGACCTTCTCGAACACACCTGAACTGGATGCAGAAGTCAATGTTAAACATGATCTCATCAATTTTGAATTGGAATTTGGATTGACATTTTCTTGTACTTCATCATTCTGTTTCTTTTGAATTTTAGATATCTCTGTAAATCTTCTTCATCATTCCATATGAAATCCTGTTAACTCATATACAACTTTGGGGGGCATAATTTCAGCATACTTCACACGTGACTTTTTACGGATTTCTAAAATTTGTTGACAGTTTTGTAGAGTACCTTTCTTAAAAACAAGAATCGGCACCATTGCCAGAATGAAGAGAGCACCAGCCTTCGTACGATATGATGTATACCAGAATGAAATGAAGTTTAACGTCCTACTGTCTTGCTCCGAACTGGTCTAATGAAGACCTGCATACACCATGCAGTGTGCTATGAGGGAAATTTTGTCCGGACAGCGGCACTACGGCCTACTCTTATATCGAATTCCAACTGTCAAGGGATCTTTTACGTGCACGCCAATGTGTACACGGGACCTCGGATTTACCAGAATAAAGAAGTAAGGATGGTTGATTTTTCTAACTTGACGTATTTGTATTTTTGTATGTATTTATCTACACTGTTAGAAAAAATCTGGTAAATTTACATGAAAATTACTGGCAGCAAAAGTTGCCAGTAAATTTACTGTAAATAAACATTCAGCTGTAATATTACAGAGTTTCTGTAATTTGACTTTGTGAGTAAATTTACCTTAAAACAGTAAATGGAAAATAACATGAGTTTGTTTTTTAACTTTGAACTGTAAATTCACCGCAACACAGTAAATGAACGGTTACAGTAAGTTTGTTTTTAGACTTCCCAATGTAAATTTACCTAAAAGCAGTAAATGAAAAATTACAGACAAATGTTAAAATAAAACACAATGATTTTAACTTCCGTTCCAGGATTTTAGATGTAAGCTTGTGGTACTGTCTACTGCAGGCATTGTAACTCTCCTCTAGAGACAGTCAAGCTAACACTGGCCAATCGGTTTAATTAACCGTCTTCAATTGACCTTGGTTACGAGATAATACAATCTATGACAAGTAAGCAAAACATTTTTTTATACGTTAATGAACATACTTACAATCTGATCAACGTACGATGAATAATAATACACGTTTTAGATCGTATAAATAAAGAAAATTAAATATATATAACATGCAATATACCAAATTGCACAAAATGTGATTGTCCATATTATGGTTAATAAATTAGAATGAATACTATAAGACAATAATTATTAGGAATGGTTCGTTGCTATGGAATACTAAAATAAAATAAGAGACAGTAAATTTACATAAGAGACAGTAAATTTACCAATAAGTAAATTTACAAAATAATGTGAATAAACGTAAATCTGTAAAATTACCTACTGGCTTTGCTATTTTCATTTCAATATTGAAATATTACGCATGTATTTTTACCGGGGTTTAATGTGCCTTTGGTTTCATCAAAGTTTATTGTAAAAAAGAATGAAACTTGGTAAATATACATCATTTTGGTAAACATTCCGAACATTTTTGGTAAAAATTTAATTGCTGTAAATTTACTTATATTTCTAACCTGAAAGTTTACAAAATAATGTGAGTAAACGTAAAATCTCTAAAATTGCATGCTAAGAGACAATAAATTTACCGAATACGATAACTACCAATAAGTTAAACATACATTATGCAAGAGCTAAATCTGCCTATTGCAGGTCTTTCTTTAGGCCTGATATGTTCTATAAACTATGAATTAGACATTTATTAACATGAAAAGACCATAATCAACTCATGGATGCCATCTTATGTGTTGGATTTTCACTGGATTTGAGTCCGATCTGGGGCTCAACGCTCATTAATGATTAAATTCAAAAATAGATAATCAAGACTATGTTTTTTTTATCGTACTGACTTAATAAGTAATGATGATCGAGGCTAGGCCTAACATCCAGTCTCTAATATCTCGGTTCCGAGAGGATCAATTTGACAGAAATTTTCAGCATATTCCCATTACATTATCTAGTTTTTAACTATTATAGTGAGAACTGCTGTAATTTTATTTATATTTCTAACCTAAAAGTAAATTTACAAAATAATGTGAATAAACGTAAGATCTGTAAAATTACATGCATGCTTGTTTATTTTGAGTTCAGTTTGGAAATATTACATATGTAAGAATGTATTTTTAATGATTTTGAATGTGTCTTTGATTTCATCACCGTATATTGTAAAAAAAGACACGAAACTCTGTAAACATACACGAAACTCCGTTAAAATACGCCAGACTTGGTAGAACTACTACATTGTGGTGAACATACCGATAATTAATGTACAAAAACTGCTTGTACTACTGTAATTTTACAAAAATTTCTAACAGTGTACCGTAAACATGGACATATTTGTACTGGATCTACTCTAATTTATATACATGCTTATATATATTACTGCTTGACTTTATGCCTTAATTCAGAATATTTGGAAATTTCAGTTATATTACCAATTGGATTGATTTTACCATCGTCTTTTTCAATTTCCATGTTGTATTAAGTTCTTAGACTTCAACTTGCAAAATGAATGAAATTTGTTCGGACTGTAAAAGTTACATACTTTTTGTGTGGAAGAAAACAAAATAATTGTACTCTATGAGACATTGTAACTGAAGACTAATATACAATACATGTATACCTATAGAATATTATATTGTACAAACTATTTATATTATGAGATAAAAAAGTTCATTTTTGGTGGCACAGAGATAACCTGTTCTAATGATCACCATGGGAACTGCAAGACCCAAGTTATAAAACACATATTACAACACTGTTATTTCATTTCACACTTTTTAAAATGTAAATATGTTTAGATGATTTATATAGAGGTGGTGGGTGGGGCTGCAATTCTAAGGCCCTTCTGACTTGTGGAAAGCCCCCACATTTGTGGTTAGATTTTCGAAAATACATTTTTCATGCATGGAACAATATTTCTGGTAAGTTACAGCCATGTAACTGGTGTCCATATAAAAAGTCCCACTTTTAGGGCGTGGCCAGGTGGGCTTTAATAGGACGATCTGACTTGAGGAAAGCCCCAACATTTCTGGTTAGATTTGTGAAAAATATGTTTTCCAAGTATGGATCTTTGTTTCCAGTAAGTTTCAGCCATGTAACTTATGACCATATAAAAAAGCCCCATGTTTAGGGTGTGGTCGGACATACTTTGGAGCGGTCTGACTTGGGGAAAGCCCCCAAAGTTTTGGTTAGATTTTTGAAAATTGTATTTACCAAGTATGGATCTTTGTTTCTGGTAAGTTTCAGCTGTTTGTTTTGGAGTTTTCATTTTACCTTTTTGCGATCTGTATACTTCAGAATGTGCTTTCTGAGGTATTCTTTACGTGCATCAACCATCTGTGTCTCTATCACATCATATGAAATATCCCCCATCACGAAAATTAACGTAAAATCGGCGTTTTTCGAAATTTGGTCAGGAAAATCCAATGCAAGCTAATGGCTGCCTACGAGTAGTTTGCTCACCGATCTCCCACAATGCAACAGTGACACGCCCTTTTTTGGAATGGGTGATTCATGTACATGTATACCGTCCGCGAATAGAAATTATTTCAAATTTTATGTGAATGTTTTTTTAAGTGCTAGAATGATTCCTATGATTGTGTACGTAGTAGATATAGAAATAATTATGTTTTGACTTTCTTAGAAAATATGCAATTATCGCTTTACTTTGGGAAATACAATGACAATGTAGAAATGGTTCCACTACTGATGTACGTCTTCCGCCTTACCGATACATACATAATTGTAGCTAAATGACAATGGTGCACTTTTAATTCTATCTATGTCATGAAATAGAAATATTCTATTTCTGAAATAACGATTTTATTTCAGAAATAGGGAAAACATGGGTCAATTTCGATCGCCCATTGGCGCAAGACAAACCTCCGAGACATTTTTAATTTATTTCAACATCACAAGATTTCGTTCTACTGAACACCAGAATATTAGAATATGTTCGCCATTCATACAAATACATATATATAGGCCTAGACTCAATCAGTCAATGACTGAATCAATGATACTAGGCCCAAATGATCAGATGATAACTTAAATTAAATGACACGTTATTGATAGAGTCTACTACGTTGCATATTATGTCGAAAAAGTCGATCCCAATTTTTGTACATGACACAAAACATAACAGTTAATATGACCAGAACAACAAAAGTGGAAAATGGTCAGCAAAAAAATAACATGAATATTTCTAACTCGACTAACATGATGCCTTACCGTGATTGTTGTTGTTTGTTAGTTGTATTTTACGTCCACTTCCACCGAGGTGATTTAAGCTATTATTAATATGGCGGAGATACGCTTGCAGTATGCGCATGCGTGATAAATGACGTAACTGAGCTGTGTGAATATGAACTGACATGGGAGGTGATCAGGCTGGAAAACACACCCTTTCACCCATGGGGTTGGTATTTTACGGTTAACCGAGAACTACCGAGATATTCTAAAAATAAACTCGGCAGGGGGTGGAAAGTAGATTACACAGGTTTCTAAATTCGAGGACCGATTTTGGTCCACGAAAACCCGATGGTCCAGCAATTGTTGGTGTGCAAGCATACAAGTGTCCCCCAATTCAATGATCCACACACACACACACACACACCCACACGCACACACACCCACACACACACTGGAGCTGCAATTTTAATTGATTTTATTTTAGATTTTCTGTAGTTACTTAACCCTGTCTGAATTACCTCCCTTAAAGTTATGCCTTTATAAATACACTTACATAGTACGATTTCTTCAACATACCTGTTTTGCATTTCTTGTGTGGGGTATTATATTAATATATTATTATATATTGTACAATTACATAACTTAATAATTCTGATTAGTCGCTAGAACTTATGGTTTTTAAGCTTTTAACGTTATTTTATCTGGATTATCGCCCTTATTATTGTGATTTTTTATCACCTTCTAAGATATGACGTCATTCTCAGTCAGCAGACGGCTGTCCCTCGAGACAGTCTACATTTCCTACTTGCTTCTTTGTATTCAGTTTTGTTTTTGTTTTGTGACGATGGAACATGTACCCTATGTTTCTTTATTGAATTTAAGAGTTTAGACTACTTTTTTTTATACATTTCACCGATGTGATTACTTGTATAGTTGAATTTTACTACATATGCTTACATTCGTATTTCGTGTAGCATATAGCAGATCATGACTCATGCTGGCATTACACAATTGGTTCTTTGGGTTGTATTCCTAATTGTTACGGCAGAAGCCCTTGTTTGCGTCAATATTTGATCGGTGTCCATAAATTAGACGATGCAGAATCTTAGTGCATAATTTGTACTATACGTAACCATGTAAACGCAAAAATGGCTGCCGTTTGGGCAGTAAAAAACGAAAACGCAACGATGAATAACGTCCCTAAGTCCCCTCACAAGTTGTAAGTGGATTTTATATTGTTGTAAATATGCTATAAGAAGTTGTAGATCATTTTTATGTCAAATTCAAGTATTGCTAACGTATGTATATGATGATTTTAGGCATTTAAAAGTTATGTCTGTCGCGCACATGGTTTTGTAAGATTTGGCGACTTGTCAAATGAGGCAGACGCAGGTCTTTTGATAATGTTAGGTTAATGTAATTCCATTAGGAAAAAAAGTTTGGGTTATCAGTTAAGTTTATATCTTTGACTTACATTATTCATTGTAATAGTATTGTAATTCGCTGCTATTTTTATAATTTCAGTGAAACCGCATGTTCGTTTGTTGATTGAACCGCAAGTTCGTTTGTTGAATTGCTCTACTTATGTTCACTTCGCTCAGTTTATAATGGGCATTGAATTGTTTAAGCCTTCTACAAAATGTGTTAGTAACGAATAATGTTGGACATGTATTTCAACGCAACGTAATGATGTAACGTCCATTCCTGTATTTAACGCAATGTTCATTCCCGTATGTATTTAACGCAACGTACCGATGTAATACGTAAAGTAATAAACCTATTCACAAACTGAACGCGTGTTTGACTTAGGGGGACAACGCAACGGGATTGCTTCTGCAAGTCACTATCGACTGTAGTTGCCTTCTACATTTTAGTTTCAAACTTTCGTGAACCCTTTCGTTGGTTTGTGAATATTAACGTAAACGCGAAAAAATGGCAAAGCCTACGGATAGAAACGTTCATACATGGCTTGAAGAAATTCCATGGAATGAGGGTGGTTTTTATGATACAGGCCCAGAAATGAAATCACAGTTAATAATCAACGATGATCAGGTTTCTATTTCCTCGTCAAAGAATTCAGCAAGATCTAACACAAGTGTACTTGTCGCGAAGGAACATGCAAAACAGGCCGAGCTCGAGGCCAGGGCAGCGGCTATTACCGAACAGCAACGATTAAGACAGCAAGAGTTAGATCTACAAACAGAAAGGGAACGTTTAAAGCTACAAACAGAATTGAATGTATCGCGAGCCAGGCAACGTGCTTTGAATAAACTCATAGAAGAGCCAGATTCTACACAGCAACAAATTAAATCTACGTCTGCATACACTCCGAGTAATTGGGTTGACAGACCTCCTGTTACGACCCCTCCGAATGATTTGCGTGACAACCCTCCTTTAGTAAATGCCTCAAACAATTCTGTAGAAAACATTGTTCAGAGACAAATAGAATTGTCAGAGCTTATTCTGAATCAGCAACGCAGAAATCTTCTCCCAAGACCTGAAATTCATAAATTTAATGGTGACCCGCTTCAGTACAGAACTTTTATTAAAGCCTTTGAAAATAGAATTGAAAAGTATGCTAATGATGATAGTGATAAACTTTACTTCTTGGATCAGTACACGATTGGTGATCCAAATGCGGTTATAAAAAGTTGCTTACATATGGAACCTAAAGTAGGCTATGCACGGGCAAAACAATTATTAGGTCAGAAATTTGGTGATAATTTCAGAATTACATCCGCTTACATGAATAAACTCTTGAAGTGGCCAGTTATGAAACCTGAGAACTTAAATTTACTTCAGAAGTTTTCGCAGCAGCTGTTATTGTGTTTGAACGCTATGACTGACATTGACTATCTCAAAAGAGCTAAATAATCCACAAAATTTACGTGATCTTATGGACAAATTACCGTTTTCAATGCGTGATCGATGGCTTCGTAAAGTGTATAGTTTACAGTCAGATGAATATACCGCTAAGCTCGCTACCTTTGAGGACTTCGTTAAGTTTGTTAATTGTGAAGTAGACATTCTAACAAATCCAGTGTTTGGTAAAATAACTGACACTAATACTCCTCGGTCTTTTAATGAATTTAAACCTAACCAAAGTTTCGCCACAGGTATTAACAGTGCTCCTTCAACAAATTTCAGTAGTAACGCAGAAAGATGTCTCTTTTGTGCCAAGGAACATAATTTAGATTATTGCTTTGAATTTCAGAAGCTGTTGTATGAAGAACGCCGTGCCTTTGCAAGAGAAAAGCGACTTTGTTTTGGTTGTTTACGTCAATTTCATGATTCTAGAAACTGTGTAAATAAAAAGACGTGCCGTAAATGTGGAAAGAGTCATCCCACCGCATTTCATTTAGAAACTTTTGTTCCTTCCACAAGATCTAATATCGGTACTTCGAGTGCATACAAATCTCCATCTACGCAAGACATGAACATTTATTCCAATGTCAACAGAAACGTACAGCCGCATCATGAATCTACACAAGTTAAACGCTTAGCTAATGCTACAAGTTCATCAAACGCACATCTACCGGCATCAAACGCATTTCAACGCAACGATAACGCATCTTACATCGCACAGCAAAACGTACAACAATGATCTAACTTTGTTCCTGATATTCAAAACGGTTGTGTTGATACATTTGAGGAATTCACAAATACTCATAATGATGACTTTGACCTTATGATGGCAGTTGTTCCTGTTAACGTTATTAGTAAAGATAATAATGCTCAAGTATTGACTTATTTAGTTTTAGATAACGGATCGAGTGGTGGTTTTATTTCTGATGAATTAAAGAATGACTTAAATGTTAATGGTGAAGAAACTAAGATTGTGCTGGGAACAATGCATGTACAAAGTAAAACTAGAAGTACTATTCTTAAAGATTTACAAGTTTCAGACTTATCTGGGACAAATACAATTGATCTTCCTCCTGTTTATTCTATAGATGAAATTCCTATGTCTAGGCGAGAATACCTAGACCAGAAATTGTACAACGATGGGAATATCTTCGTGATATAGTCATACATAAATATTTCCCTAACGTTAAAGTAGGAATGCTCCTAGGAACTAATTGTCCACAGGCGCTAGAACCTCTGAAAGTAATATCTAGTCATGACAACGGTCCGTATGCTGTTTTAACTCGGCTAGGGTGGACTGTAATAGACCCAATTAAGCCTGATTTTTCATCAAAAAATGTAAACTGTAATCGCATTTACTTAAAAGATATCAGCAATGATTCGTATGTACGCCAAGTGGCTGTAGACACAACAGTTCGTGAAACCGAGATCCCAAAGTTATTCGAATGAATTGTCGAGTCAGATTTTAAAGATTATATAAGTGATCAACCTAGTTATTCTCAAGAAGACAAAAAATTCATAGAATTAGTTGAAAACAAAACAGTGTTTAAAAATGGTCACTTCGAAATTCCGCTTCCATTTAGGGATAATTATGCGCACATTTCAAATAACAGAGAACATGCTCTGAAACGCCTTAATTCTCTTAAACGTAAGATGGACTGTAACCCTGAGTTCAGAAACGATTATATTAATTTCATTGATGATTTGTTAGATCAACGTTATGCGGTTAAAGTATCGCCCGAACAGTTAAACGCGTCAAACGCCCAGACATGGTACATACCTCATCATGGTATTTATCACCCTAGGAAACCAGATAAACTAAGAGTTGTTTATGACTGTAGTGCTAAATGGAACGGTGTATCATTAAACTATTGTCTCCTACAGGGACCGGACCTTACAAATTCATTGATTTGTGTTCTTATTCGATTTCGCGAACACCCTATTGCATTTATGGCGGATGTGGAGAAAATGTTCTACCAGGTAAACGTTTCACCTGATAATTGGGATTACTTGCGCTTTATTTGGTGGCCCAACGGGAATACAGACAAACCACCAGAGGAATATCAGATGAATGTCCATATTTTTGGGGCTGTTTCTTCCCCAAGTGTGGCAAATTTCGCTCTTAAGAAAACTGCAGATGATAACATTAATTTTGGATTTGCTGTAACGAATACAATTAAACGCAATTTTTACGTCGATGACTTATTGAAATCTTGTGAAACGGAGCAAGAAGCTGCTCAACTTGCGAATGACTTAATGGGTATATGTGAAGCTGGTGGATTTAATCTTACCAAATTTATCAGCAATAACAGAGCTGTTATTAACAGCATTGATTTGAATAAACGCGCTAAAGATATTAAACATATAAACATTGATTATGATGATTTGCCTATTGAACATGCTCTTGGTGTGAGATGGTGTATCGAGAGTGACACTTTTAACTTCAGTATTATTCTTAAAGACAGGCCTTTCACAAGAAGGGGTATTCTTTCTGTAATTGGTTCTGTGTTCGATCCTTTGGGTTTCTTGTGCCCTATAACGTTACAAGCCAAACGGATTCTTCAGGAATTGTGTGCAGCTAAGCTAGGTTGGGACGATCCAATCTCAGATGATTCTAAACAAAAATGGATTTCGTGGAGAGATCAGGTTCTAAAATTAGATGAATTGAAAATTAATAGATGTTTTATTCCTTCAAATTTCGGTCAAATTGTGAAAAGAGAGATTCATATTTTTTCAGATGCCTCATCCATAGGTTATGGTTCAGTATGCTATCAACGTGTTTTAAATGATCGCAATCAGATTCACTGTGCTTTCCTTATCGGCAAATCAAGATTAGCTCCATTAAAGTCGAAGACTATTCCGAGACTTGAATTATCAGCCGCCACAATATCAGTACGTTTAAGCCGCATGTTAAAGAATGAACTTGATTTGATTCCAGAAACTGTTACATTTTGGACAGACAGTACAACTGTTCTTCAGTATATAGGGAACGAATCTAAACGGTTTCATGTTTTCGTCGCAAATCGTGTTAGTGAAATAAGAAGCTAGTCAGAACCACGCCAGTGGAAGTACGTGAGCTCAGCGCTTAATCCAGCTGATGATTCTTCAAGGACAATTTCCACAAATGATTTCATAGAGAACCCACGTTGGCTCATGGGGCCGGAGTTTTTATGGACAACAGAGAATTACAATGCGTACTAAATGGATTTTACCTCCTGGTGACTTTCAACGAGAAGATGTGTTTGCTCGTAAACATTGGAAGCAAGTACAGTATCTTACGGATACCTTTTGGAAACGCTGGCAAAAAGAGTATCTTTCTACGCTACAAGAACGTGCAAAGTGGCTAAAGCCAAAACGTAATTTATCAGTGAACGATATAGTTTTAGTAGTTGATGACAATGCTCCCAGAAATCAATGGTGTATGGGACGAATAATTGAAACATTTAGTGACGCAAACGGATTAGTACGTAGTGGTGTTGTTAAAACTCAGACATCAGTTATTCACAGATCGACCTGTTACCAAATTGATATGTTTAATGCCGTAAATTTAGTTTGTCCATTTTAATTTGTATGTAAAATGATATGTTATGGGTTTTTCACTTCTACCGTAATCTTTTATAGTAAACAATAAATTGTTCAGGGGCCGGTATGTTACGGCAGAAGTCCTTATTTGCGTCAATATTTGATCGGTGTCCATAAATTAGACGATGCAGAATCCTAGTGCATAATTTGTACTATACGTAACCATGTAACCGCAAAAATGGCTGCCGTTTGGGCAGTAAAAAACGAAAACGCAACGATGAATAACGTCCCTAAGTCCCCTCACAAGTTGTAAGTGGATTTTATATTGTTGTAAATATGCTATAAGAAGTTGTAGATCATTTTTATGTCAAATTCACGTATTGCTAACGTATGTATATGATGATTTTAGGCATTTAAAAGTTATGTCTGTCGCGCACATGGTTTTGTATGATTTGGCGACTTGTCAAATGAGGCAGACGCAGGTCTTTTGATAATGTTAGGTTAATGTAATTCCATTAGGCCAAAAGCTTTGGTTATCAGTTAAGTTTATATCTTTGACTTACATTATTCATTGTAATAGTATTGTAATTCGCTGCTATTTTTATAATTTCAGTGAAACCGCATGTTCGTTTGTTGATTGAACCGCAAGTTCGTTTGTTGAATTGCTCTACTTATGTTCACTTCGCTCAGTTTATAATGGGCATTGAATTGTTTAAGCCTTCTACAAAATGTGTTAGTAACGAATAATGTTGGACATGTATTTCAACGCAACGTAATGATGTAACGTCCATTCCTGTATTTAACGCAATGTTCATTCCCGTATGTATTTAACGCAACGTACCGATGTAATAAACGTAAAGTAATAAACCTATTCACAAACTGAACGCGTGTTTGACTTAGGGGGACAACGCAACGGGATTGCTTCTGCAAGTCACTATTGACTGTAGTTGCCTTCTACACTAATTGTTTTCAAATTTGAGTGAAGTCTGTGTCACTACACACCCGGGACTGTACAGCGCAGTGGACGCTTACGGCTAGCCCCCGATTCCATTCACTTTTTTTTAATTGTCTCTATGTTTGTGTTTTCCTGATGTATGATGTCCTGTCCGTGTATTTGTTTTTGTGTAAATTTTGTGTGGTGCAGTCCCCCTGCACTAACTATTAGGGCAACAACATCGAGCACATTTCACTTGTGGATTATATCGTTCATGAGTGATAACTCACATTCCCGTCAGTAAATCGGAAATCTAACTGTAGTTTACTTAGCCCACGCTACTGGTCACCCAATCTATGTATAAGTTGGTCTTCAAGATCAGGAAATAGTTGTGGCCCTGTGCTCGCACTTTACCGTTAGAATACCAGGATGATTTAACAAGAGGATGTTTTTGTACTTGTCCAATAATCGCACATTTTCTACGGTCATGTCTTCAGCTATTGAAATTCCTGACTTGCTCAGTTTTCTTCGATTTGTTAGTACTAGCTGCCTTTCATCCCTTCTCAAAAATCGAACTATTATACCTCTGGGGTTAACAGTTTTCGGAACAGCGGAGTCTCTTTCAGAGCGTGAAAATGAAATGGACTAACTCTATGGGCAGCATCGATTGGAATTGATCTGTCTATTTTCAGTTTTGTTTTGATAATGCCAGATACAATGTCAATACAGTTTTCATTTGGGGTTTCCTTTACTCCAAAGACGCGTAAGTGAGTTTTACGGGTATATTGCTCTAGATTGTTCAATTTATTAGCGAGTATTTTATTCTCGGTATCCTTCTCTTTGATATTGGCCTCTATAGCCTCAAATCTTTCATGGAAGTTATCGACATCCAGACCGATACTACCTTGAGTAAGTTCATCCTCTGACAACCGCTCTTCAATCTGACTCAACTGGCTTTCCAAATAGGACAGAACTTTCTTTTCAATACCGGCTACTGCAGATTGTACCGCTTCTTGAATAACTTCGTGAAAAGCTTCACTTTCAAATTATATCATCAACTGTACCTGATTTACCTTGTGACAAATCCTTGTTAATTCGGCTCCCTTTTCTCCTACTAATTTCGGCGTTTTGGGATTAGTATGATTTGGCGAGAGGTACTGGAGAACTATGTCGATAATTTTTCCCAAAGTCATTTGTTCGAGTTGAGATCTTCGTCTTTGTTTCTTTAGTTTGTTTTGTTAGTTTGTTTCTTAATCTTCTCTGGTTCGATCTGCCGTCTAGGTAATTATCTAGGTTTACTGACTGTTCGGATATAGCTCCAAGTGTCGTCTGAGACCTCTAATTAGACGCCGGTTTCTTATATACACCTCATGCACGTGCATCTCATGTCGAGTCTGCATTCGGGCGACCCTTACATATAGGATATAAATCAGATATGTTATTATCTAAACAGTATCACAGAACACACCTCCCAGTTTTAAAAGGCCCCAGAAAGGAATAGGGCAAAACCAAGAAAGGTCTGCCAAACCTAAAACGCAGGACAAAATACCGAGCCTCATCAGGATCAACTATAAAGAATAACCGAAACATAAGACTAATCCAAAGAGAAAACTGATGGAAATAAACCTCGGGCTAGATCCGAAAATCTGCCCCTGGAAATGAAATTTAACTAACTAAATCAGTTTAAAACATTGGCGATTCTCTGGAGACAACATATTTAGGGCCACCACTAAAACCCGCCAATGAAATAGCCCCGCAAAACTGTTCACTGGGGTTAAGGTGAACTGATGAGAAATCGGCCATTTAAACAATCTACATGCCCGTTCAAATTCCTGGACATCACCCGGGGACAGATAATGTAAATCTGTGACCACCCGCGCCCTATTCACTAGGCTCCATAAATTGGTTAAGGAGCCCCCAGTGCGGGATATCCTAGCTGCCAGTATTTTAAGTACCTCCAATTTACGGTACAACCGTTCCTCAGAGGAATATCCCAAACCAAAAACCCCCGGTAAGTGACTCATCATTACATGTCTTTTTACAGTTTTCGTAAAATAGTGACATCCCCTTACTGGGCAGAGCTGAGCTCGCCCCACACGTTTTCTGGTTTTCCGTTTCTTGGGTACCCCCACATCCACTTTCTCAATGCCCACATCCTTCTCACACGCATCCACAACCTCCTTTTCCCCACACACCACTCTTTCCCCCACATCCGAATTTACCCCCCAATCAAAATCAGATCTTAACATCGGGTTACAGGGAATCCCAATTTCCTCCTCCACCTCTAACTCAACCGCCTGCTCCTCGCCCCCCCGCCCCCTCTAACTCAAACGCCTGCTCCTCGCCCCCCCCACCCCTATAACTCAACCGCCTGCTCCTCACCCCCCCCCCCCTCTAACTCAACCGCCTGCTCCTCAACCCCCCCCCCCCAACTCAACCGCCTGCTCCTCGCCCCCACCCCCTCTAACTCAACCGCCTGCTCCTCGGCCCCCCCCCTCTAACTCAACCGCCTGCTCCTCGCCCTAACTCAACCGCCTGCTCCTCGCTCTAACTCAACCGCCTGCTCCTTGCCCTAACTCAACCGCCTGCTCCTCCCCCTAACTCAACCGCCTGCTCCTCGCTCTAACTCAACCGCCTGCTCCTCCCCCTAACTCAACCGCCTGCTCCTTCCCCCTCACTCAACCGCCTGCTCCCCCCTCACTCAACCGCCTGCTCCCCCCCTCTAACTCAACCTGCTCCGCCTGCTCCACTGCCAACGCTGACCTCTGTGCTGCCTCCCATCTCCCAACACAGCCAAGGACACCCTCACTCTCGTGCAGTCCCTCTCCGTCTCAAAAAACTCCTTCAACTCATCCTCCTCCGGGGTCAACACCAACAGCTCCTCATCCCAACTCTCTACCCTCTCCATCCTCCTCTTTCCTTTCCCTTTTATAACTCTAAACCACCCGTCCATCTAAAAATAATATCCAACAAAAAAAAAATAATCCTTACCTGGGCTAGGGATATCTGCCCCCCCCCCCCTTTTTTTTATATATATATTTTTTTTTAAGGATAATTTTCTAATTACCCTTAACCCCTGTCGCCATTCGGACATTTATAGATGTCAATGCTTTCGGCCTCCTTAGGGGTGATATTTACACAATGACCGTGAAACCATTCCAAACAGAAGTCACATTGCAAACCAAATTGGTTCCCCCATGGTTTTCTACATTTACAGCAAATCTTCCTACCTTGGGAATCCCTATCCGTTTTATCCCTAACCCCTTCAATAGCTCTTTTACGTGCCTGAATTGTCCAAGGAGGGACATTCATCTCCGGACAACTCTTTATTCTGTCATGGTGCTTGACGGATATGGAGGCAACTTCTAGTTTTCACCCGATACAGACCAACAGCCAATTTCTCCATCACTACCCCAGGACCCCGCCATTATTTCATTAATTTTCGAGCCTTCCCTTTGGGAGTAGAAGTGTCCAAAATATATACAAACGCCCCCACTTCATAAGCCCTTTCTCTCAATTTTATATCATAATCCCTTTTCGTGCGCTTCTGTGCCATCCCTAAATTCTCTCTAGCAATTTCATGTGCTAAAGTCGCAGCAGCTTCTTCCAAATCAACCAAATATTGATTTGCCGTTCGTATATTCCCATTCTCTGGACTCCCAAACATAAGATTTAACCGGAATATTTATCTCACTGCCTAACATTAAACGATTTGGGATAAATCAGGTCTGTCTGTTTACCGACGACCTTAAAGCGCCAGCTAATTGAGCTAAATGTTGATCCCAGTTATATTGTTTCTCATCTACGAAACATCTAACCGCGTCCATTAATGTTCTATTATACCTTTCCGCTTGCCCATTCGAAGACGGACGATACGGAGTAGTTCGCGCTTTATGGATTTGCATCTGATGACATAACTCGTTGAACAATTCACTCTGAAAATTCTTACCCTGATCAGTAAAAATTTGGAAGCTATACCCGAAACGAGAGAAAAATTGGTCTATTGCGGCTTGTGCAGTTACTTCCGCCGTTTGAGAGGATAATGGAACACACTCTACCCATTTTGTAAATTGATCTACCATCATTAGAATGTGTTCATTACCACGAGTTGACTTCGGCAAAGGTCGGAGGAAATCTAAATGTACCCTTTCCATGGGAAAACCGGACTGATATGACACTAAACCTGAACGAGCATGAAAAGTGCCCTTTTTACAAGTACTACAAACCCTACAGTTTTGCAAATAAGCTGCCACATCTTTGGACATACAGTACCAAAAATAATTTATTCCAATTTTTTGTGAGTTCTGTCTAGACCTTGGTGTCCTGCTGAAGAGGAGATCATGGCACAATGCAATAATTTCTTGTATACAATTTTAGGCACCACTAATTGAGATGACCCACCCCGGGGTCTTTTCTAAACAAAATTCCCTTTTCATTTAAGTAAAACAATTCCTTATGAATCCAATAATATTTAGCGGCCGGACTACTAAGGAATAATTCCGCTTCTAAGGGGGAACTCCCATCCTTAAAGGAGCTAAATCGCTAACATTTGGGACCTAGAAATTGACAAAAGTGGATCGCAACGCATATAATACTGTATTATGAATGTATATAACCTGATTCCAGTCTACATACGCCGTTAGATTTGGTGCAATGTGTCTAGCCTCGTCCCTCGAGTCTCTTGATACAACTGGGGCTGAAGCGCATTATGGTACACGATTCGTGTACCAATGGTAAAATGTGGATTTTTGTCTTAAATATTGGATATCTAAAGCCCATCTTTTTCCGGTAAGATCACGACATGAATGTTGATTTAATTTGACAAATAAATCGTGTTTTCAATGTTGAAGATTTTGGATGATATTGAGTTAGAGACTGAGCTACTTTAAGCCAGGCCAGAATGAATCTAAAATTTAAATCCTTGTTCTGATTTTCTACCATTTCCTGTTC